CATCAGCAGCATACAGGTAAGTAAGAACATATAATGCTGGGCCACACAATTCAAAGGGAGGCAAGGCTGATGGAACACATGTAGTTTCTATCATATAAAAAGCATTGGTGGATTAGTATACCATAAAGAACCATTACCTTGCCCCCCAGATCCTGGGGGTCCTTTGTGATGGAACAAAAAGCATTGCGCACTTAGCTATAAGACTTATCAACCTGCAGTGATGTCTGCTCTGGAACCAAGAGGCTGCAGGATGAGTTACTATAAGCCTCTGCCACATCCTTCTCCAGCAAGCCAATACATTGACCCGTAAGGACCCTGCAGAGATTAGTTTTAATTTTCCAGTGTGGTCAAGCCCTATTTAAAGTGGGCAGGGGCCAAGAGTGTAAAAGCCTTCTGTTTTAAATTGAGATTTTCCTTTCAACTGGAAAGTTGTTGTGCAGCCCACACTAACACTACATTTCACTTTGAGACATCTCACCAACCTGTTCTATTAGAAGTGACGGAGTCGGTCTGCGAAGCAAGGCGCTGGGGCAATGGAGCCTCGAGGCCGGGTATGAGACTCTCAACAGCTATTTCAGCTTTTCCTTTCCAAAGGCACAAAATAGCAGAGCAGAGGAGAAGCAAGAAGTTAGTTCACCGGATAGAGTGCAGGCAGAAACTGAGCAGGCAGCTATCTGACGTTGTAAGTATCCCTCTAATATATAGGGCAGCTACCTGTGCAAGAACATGGCACCTTGGTATTATATTCCAGTTAGTTCATTCAAACCGGAGGGAAATTTGATGTTTCGTGGGGGGGCTCCATTGGTTCGAGCCCAGTTTCAAATGTGATATGGGTTACATGGTAGATGTTATTTCTTCTAACACATCACTGCAACGCACATTCTATAGCATATTAGGACATTCTCACTTTAGCTCCCACATCACTCAGCTAAAATTTTCAAAATGTACCTTAGAATTAGGCGACCAGACCCAACTGGAAGCCAAAAGGATCCGAGGACTTATTTAGGGCCCTCTGAAAATCCCCACCCTTCTATGAAAGAAGAGATTATCCATTTTTATTTAATACCATTATGGAGACAAAGTGCTGAGGAAAATTGGACGGAGAGATTTACTTACACAGAATGCATGAAGTGGAAAGACAGAGGGACACTGAATCAGATGTGATCAGGACCATTAGGGGAGATATAGCTATGCATTTGATTCCCTACTCCAACTTCAGCAAACAGGTAATGAGTGAGGACAGCAATTTAAAAAAGCAAGAGGGTCACTCTCTGTATTCTGAGACTAGGACACTTTAGGTTGGAAAGCGCAAAAAAGATTAATAAGTATTTTTGCAAACTAATTTCAGAGCTTGTTTGTGCTTTAGGAGGCAATATTTATGAGTGTTCAAAGAGCTGCTGGGAATAGCAGTGGGAAAACTGATACAACAAAGCAGCATCAGTCACTATTCTCCTGTTTATAAAACAAGGTCCCAATATCTATGCTGGGAAAAGAAACTTGATCAAATGGGGATGGTCCTGCTTTGAGCAGGGGGTTGGACTAGATATGACCTCCTGAGGTCCCTTCCAACCCGCATTTTTTTTATGAATCAATGTGTCGTCCCGTCCCCCTGCCCCACACACACACACACACACACACACACACACACACACCCAAAGTTGCAAACTAACAAATCCCAACTTCAGGTTTGACCATTTTTAGTGGCTGGCATTTGCCAAATACTATCCGAATTAATTAGTCCATTTCTTTCTTACCTCCTTTATGGGAGCCAAGCACCTCAAAATCTTTAGTCTGTTTACCCTCACAACATGCTACCATCCCATTTTATAAACAGAGCACTAAGACACAGAAAGACTGAGAGACTTTCCCAAGGTTATACAGGAAGCCTGTAGCAGAACAGGAAATTGAACAAGTCTCTGAGGTCCAAAGTCAGTATCCTCCTTGCTGAACCATCCATTCTCTCTAGGTTTTTGGCATTCTTCCTCTTCCCACAACATCTAATCCTTTCATCCATGTCAGGACAGAAACCTGCATAGATCACAACTCTGCCATGCAATTTATGACACGTTCCAACTTGTTGTCTATTCAGACACCCTCCTTCTGCTGTCCTGGAGTGTGACACTCAGAGAGGTCAATCTGTCTCTTTGCCTCATGCATTGTAACTTAAGTGAACTGTGTTTCGTGGCTGCGGTCTGGCCATACCCCACCCATGCCCGGGGGAGTTAACATGCAGAATTATGATGTAAGCATGCAGGACAGGACAAAGCACATCAACGACACTTATTTCCTGGGGGGGTTTTTTGTGTTTTTGTTTTTTTACCATTCACAGCATCTGAGGTGCTACCGAAGGGGTCAGCAAGAGGCAGGATATCAGCGAGCAGAAGCGCAGTCTCAGGAGATTTGAGACCTTCAATCAGTTTTTCTGAGTTAAGCAGGAAAAAAGGAAGCAAGGAAGGAAGGAAGCAGAAAGATACCAAAAGAAAAAAAAGAAAAAGTCATTAAACAGCTTTTCAACCAGGTGACTGATCATCTTATGTTATAGTCTGTTGGCTGCAAGAAAATATTAGCATGGCTTTATGCAGGAACACAACTGCTGCTTACAGAGCACCCGCTAGGCAAAGGTCTCAAAGCACTTCACAGAAGTATGCAGATTATGTGGTCGCAGTCACACAAGCCTGTGAAAGCGGGGAGAGAACTCAGGTCTCCCAATCCACCAAGGCCTACACCTGCCAAATAGGTCACCAGAACAAAAAAAAAAAAAAAAAAAAAAAAACAACCTTCAGTCTTGCAGTAGCATTAAAAGATAGGAATCCATGACTGAAAAACAGTTTAAAGCTCACAACTAGCTTTTCGTGTATTAACAAGGTCTTTGGTTTTATTAAAATCTCTGTGTTAAAGAACGGAGGACCACAGATTTGCAAACCTATGCAAGGGAGTTAGGCATGTTATCTTCATTACTCTTGCCTGACAGTAGGGTGCCTGTCCCTGTTAAGTGTCCAAACAGACATGAAGATTATGAAAACGTGGCAATGCCAGACCTCACAATCTGCCTTGGGCCAACAGAGCTGTCTAGTAACCCAAGAAGTATTTCAGATCCTGAAGTGTTAAAACTCAAACATCAAGATGCAAAGAGCACAATGCCTACAGCTTTCATTGTTGCATAATGCAACTCAGTATTGATAAATATAGATTCCCTGCACAAAAATCTGTTGGATTTTTTAAAATGTGTGAACAAATGGTTTTGCAATCATATTAACCAGGTCTTGACAGTGAACTCAATTAAGGAGCTGTTAGTAAGGCTCCTTCACGCAGAGTATACAAGCAAAATTTTCCTGATTCCCTCGAAGACAGCATTCTTTGTAAGGAGGCACAAAGTACTTGCATGAGCTAGCTACACATTGGAAAACCTGGTCATTTCACTTTGCAGGGGAAGGCTTCACAACACCAGACATGTGGCAAGTATGCCATTAAGGCACTTTTACATCTAGATTATTATTTTTTCAGAAGATCTCTCAGTATCCAGACAGGCTCTACACGTTATTCATTAGGTACCAAGTACATGCTCAGTGCTATACAAGACAAAGATACAGACGGACCTTGTCTTTATACCATAACAGTACAGAAGATGGGACAGGATAGAGATTGATTTAAAACTTTTTTTTTTTTTTTTTTTTGCTACTGTAGCATTTTATTGTCAAGTTGCGTCCTTATGGTATCACTGATGTGGGATGAGACGCCACTTCCAAATTTCTGCGATTCCTCAAACCAGTAAAACCAGAGTGAATCCTGCCAAAATTTATCAGTACCTAATATAGAAATACCAACTGCTCTGTAGTCCAGTGACCTCACTGCCTCGCATGCACAGCTTTCAGTCTCTTTTGAAAAGGGGCAGAATGATTTTAGTTCTGAGTCACAACAATAAATGATTCATCTGATCAAGGGAAAAAATACCATGACAGCTATGTAGTCTTTGGCTGGAGTTCAAGGCCACCATGAAAAAGTCAATCTCTATCACACTAAATTAAAAAAAGGGGGGTGGCGAGGGGGTGAGCGGGGCACATCTAATAGCAATGTGTAGACCTAAATGGTGCCATGTGCAATTATAAAGGTAGAGTTAAAGATACCTATATTTTTAAATTACGATGAGCGTCACTGTGCTGAGCTGACAAGCCAAAGGTAAGTGAAAAATTTGGGACTGGCACCTTCACATGTTCCTTCATGCAAAAATGGTTCTTCTGGTGCACAAAGTGAAGTCGTACACAGAGAAGGAAGTTGCAAGAACACAATAGAGAAGTTACCTTTCTGATATCCACCTGAATTTTGAAGGCCCTTGCCTTGAGAGGCAAGCTCAAGACTTACAGCGTGTGTGGCCCAAATTCTCATTTGCAAAGGTCCCTTTGTCATCACTGTGGCAGTGGGCAAAAGCCTTGAGATGGGTATGAATCTATTATACTCACAATGGCTTTTCCAATGCAAGAGCAAAGCAAAAGGACACAGGACCTTGAGACTCTGGCCCTGTGAGGACAGGGCACACACCCTGTCTGAGCCATGGAAGCTAAGGGGCATTCCCAGCCCTTCTACCTAAAATGGCCCAGCAAGGAAAAGGAAGAAGTCACCAGATATAAAAATGGAAACAGCTGGACCCCACCCCAAAAAAATTAAAGTTAAAACAAGCAATTGAGTGAACGCTGCTGCAACTTTTCACTTGTACGGAGATCCTTCAAAACCATGCCTGTGGGATGAACCTGGACTTCCACCCAATGGCAGCTTTAAAGAAAACCCTATCCAAGAGGCTTTTCTGCTAGACCTTGGTTGCATTTTCTCCTGAAGTAAATTCCATCGCGACTGTGCCAGCATCTTGTTTGCAAAGGCTGCCGAGAGCAAAAATGTTTGTCTCAATTATCTGAGAGGCAGGTGGCAGGGGCTTCCACTGCCAACCTAAGGAGTTGGAGATTCAAAAGGAGCTTTGTTAATAATAAGCACAGGGATATCTCCTCCTCTAGATGAGCACATGGGGCTCCTGTTCCAACTAATAAGAAGCAAACATCGTCTCACTGGGAAAGTATGACACCAAGACAATATTTAGATGCAAAACAGAGGAAGTCCTGAATAATGATCATTTTTTTCAGGCCTGGCCAACAGTGCTAAGGTAAAAGGACTGCATGGCTGACTTAAATTGGGGTTCTATGGGTTTTATCTAGACATTATCCCAACATGTGAAATTGCAGAGAATTATAGATTGGATTCTACTTGAAATACTCAGAGCTGGGAGTTTGGCAAAGGCCCCTAAGGTTGCCAAGTGTCATGCTTTCAATTAGATTTATCTTTTTGGTTATTCATATTAAGATATTCTTTCCAGGGGTCTGATTTCCAGAAGCAGCAGTCACCCATCCTCTGAAACTCAGCCCTTTTGCAGGCATCTCAGGATGGGCACCCCACCAGGACCAGTCCACATGGAAGTACCAGCAAGTGTTGTTTGAAATGATTCCCTTTGCCTCCAGGCCTGGCCCAATTTTGTACCTCCTGCATGATATCTTCTCATTCCTTATATCTCCAAAGAGCAATCTTCTCATTTCTTCTATGCTCCTTTCACACACACACACACACACACACACACACACACACACACACACACGAGGGACCATCCATCTTCCCTTTTGTCTCTTTTTGGTCAGCCATACAGCAAAAATGTTAAGCAGACATGTGAATGAGAACTGATCCATTAAAACCCACTTCTGTGAATTGTAGTGACATGCAAGTGCTATTAATGAATGAGGTTCTAGTTGTGGGCAACTGTTTCCTTACAGGAGAGTGCATCATGTGCACTGTGCGTTTCAAAACATTATCAATCCAAAAAAAGTTTGGATCATAAAAATGCCCAAGATCTTGCAACAATGATTTGATGAACACCCCACTCTTAGATATTTTTGTGATGTTTTCTCATTTGTCCCATGTGGCCTGTTTTAATTCTTTCTTCCTTTGCAAAATTTTGTTTTGTTAGCATTGTTACAGGGTGGCATTTTAGCGTATGGGCAGAGTGCTAGAGAAGTAAAGAGAACTATGTTGCTTCATAGCAGGTTTTATGAACTAGACAAAACACAAAAAGGGCAGGGGGACAGGCAAGAAAGGACAGAAGTCATGTGACTGGGGTATGCCTAGCACTGGTCCTCTTGGTTGTTACTTTATTTTGTATAAATATATGAGGAATTTTCAAAAGCAACCAAGAGACTCAGAGAACAAGTCTCAGTAGCTTTCTTAGGCACTTCTGAACTACTCTATGCATACTTGATACTTTATGTTGCACTGAACCATAGGATGGTGAGACAAAGCCTGGGAACAGCAGTGAATGGACAGCAATGGAAAGCTACTAAGCTAGTATCTTCAACTCAGGAGGGAAATGCTTAATAACTACTTGGTGACTTCAGCGATGACTGATCTCCAGTTCCACTGACAACAAAGGGAAGGACTTCTTAATTAGAAGGGGAGCCATTCTCCAACAGTTATATTAGGTTAGCCATGTTAACACAACATACATACAAGCCCCAAGCTGAGCTTTTTGACGTCAGCATCATCCAATCATCAGAACGTACCTCCGCAACAGGCCAGGCAGGTTTGTGGATTCAAGCTCCTTAGTCGAACTTCAAGAACATGCATTGTGGACCAGCACTGCCACTCAAAGTTAGTCAGTCAAACGATGATAGGATAATTTTAAATTAGAGCATTTTTTTGGTGGACCAAATGTAGCAGCTGTGGTTCAAATCTAGCTGGATGTGAAAAGGTAGACCTCCCCCTACAGTCAAAATCTAGTAATGCTGAGCTGCTCTTCGTCCAAGCAGCGCATCTCAGGATCACAGCCGTTTTGGTTACTGCTATCAGGGGCTTTACCTAGATTAACAAGGCTATTGGCTGAGCAACCTGAATGAAGCCTTCAGTTGTATTTAACATTCAGAAGAAAACAAGTATTTTGTCAGCCCTGTCCTTGGGCTGCTGCAGCTTGAACGCAGTTAGAAAGTGAGAGAGCATTTTCCTCACCATGTGAGCCAGCCATGAGGAGCGTTACAGTGTTGGGGAACAGCATTTAAAAATGACCGATTTGTTTCCTTTTGGAAGCGAGACAATCAAGGACATGTTCCATAGGGAGCACAGTGAAGAGAGTCACCTGCGTCTGGTGAACGTTATATGTGATTTTTCAAATGGGAGATGCTGGCTGGTCAGTAGCTTCGAAAGCCAGGTCAAAGAGACTGCTTCCCCTCTCAATGGATGTAATGCCACTTAACATCAGCAGAGTTACTCTGGACTTGTGCCATTTTGAGAGAAACATAGAATCAGGGTCTGATTCTACACATACCCAAGCCAACTGTGAAATAATCCAGTGCCAACATTTTAGCCTCTCTCTCCAAATCCAGACTGCATAATGCATAT